GCTGCAGTATTTATAGGATACAGTCGCCAAGCTACCGCATACCTATGACAATCCATGCTCTCCCCCCCTCCTCATCAGGGATCGTTGCAATTGGTGTGATGACTGTTTGATGGCCAACATGTGCGTCGTTAATCGCTGCAATTTCATCACGGATGTTGGATGTTAATGTGGTGGATGCTCGACCATCTGACCCAGCGACTCTAGCGTTCAGACCAGTGTTCACCTGTGCGCACTCCGCATGGCTGATTACTCCGCCTCGACAAAGCCTCGGCACCGAGTATAGAAGAGGAGGGGCGTTGCACTTGTTAATGAACTGGAGGCCAGTGAAGCATGACTTAAGCAACTTACGGTTCACGCGGTTGTCCCCTTTAGCGAGAATTTCGGCCTCGTCGAATTTGAATGTGTGGCCGGATCTCGTCGAATGAACCGCAGATTTTGAGCTGGCGTCATTTCTCCACACTGCTGCAGCGTGCTTGGCCATTCGGCAAGAAACGTCTGGAGTCGTTTATCGGATTTGCTACAGTTGCAGACAGACCAACTACGTCGAAGAAACCTGAAGACTGCTCTGGATGCGAATGGCCGAACACGGGACAGTGCACAGATAAACACTGGTCCCAACTCCAGAGTTGCTGGCTCTGATGACCGAGCATCCACAACATCAACATCCAACATCCGTGATGAAATTGCAGCGATTAATGACGCAAATTTTGGCCATCAAACAGTCATCACACCAATTGCAACCATCGCTGATGAAGGACGGAGCCGTGGATTTTCATAGGTATGCGGTAGCTTGGCGACTGCATCTTATAAATACCGTAGCCCCTAGTGCATGGACCACCCATGTCCGCTATTGTCTCTGATGATGGGTTCGAACAGGAATCCGAAATGTCAGGCTAATAAAGCCTTTGTCCCAGCGATCGTGTCTCGTTCTTCAAGACTACTTCCTGGGACTCGTCTCTTCGCTTCTATTGGCAATTATTAACTGGGCGTCAAATCCACTACAGTAGTACGCTACATTGCCCAAGAGCCCTCTAGAGAAAATGTGATTCCCAGGTGGCTTGTCGAGGCAAAAAAATGCTTCCACTGGGAGAGGCTTATTTGAGGTTCAGTGTTTCGGTTAGTGTTTTAGTCTACCCATATTCAGAGACCGGCGAGTCTTGTACACCACTGTTATGTTATGGTGGAATTTTCTTAACGCGCAGGCCGGTAATGCTGACTGTGGGGTTGAATCCAACCTCCGTTTCACCGTGGCCCCTGTCGCCCCCCGTCTGCAATGACTGCGGCGATAATTAGTTGCCCCGATCTTCGTACGCCGTCACTGTCCTGAGAAGTCGGTGGACGTCCAGGCTTTAACACCTCTTTTGATGTGTCATCACCCCCTCGTCCCACAGTCTCAGTGTCCTCAAAGTTAAATGTGTGTCTTGTCTGCGCAGCATGGGTTGTCACCTCCGACTCTGACACGAACCTTTGCGCGGACAACCGTTACGCATGCATTCAAGTTTTCAACCGCCGGCCGGTTTCTCCAACGTATTTTCACACCCCTTGGCTGCATTGAAGTGGGTAGATGACGGTCGACTTCACCTGCTTATGGATTGGTTCTTTTAGCCGCATCACTTGCCGGCGGATTGTTGAGTCTGGCCTATGAGCAAATCCTATTTGGTTATCTTACATCACATCGTAAAAATCATCAAACAGGGGATTTTAGCTGACTTCCCAGTTAGGAAAGCATTCAATTTAGCGCACATTAGAACCCCTGGAAGAAACAGCAAGGATTTAGCACGGCCAATACTGCGACGCACTGGTTGAGCCTCTCACAAGTGGGTTGCGATTACCGCCCAACTTATCCCGAGGTTTGAAGTCCATCGATTCTCTCCAAGTAGCGTGACTAGTCAAGTAGGGTTTTCTCCAATCGGCATATTCAGCATCCCGCAGATGACTCCCAGTCTCATTTGCTGTTGGTGTGTGTAACGGATGTGGATGATTTTAGCCGAGTTTCCAATTGCGGGGAATTCGACAGACGTCGGTGTGATTCGACAGAATCGGCCGGACTTCAGTATAGCAAAACGGTCTCTTCAGTCCATGTCAACTGCAGGTTCGTTAGTCTTTCGGTTTCAAAAATGAGAAGATAAGCTGTTCTATGAGTTCTGAGTCCACTTTGAATGCCCAGTGTGAACTTGGTTTTCTAGCACCATGGTTGTTCAGGAAAGACAGAGTCAGCAAGTAACGACAGTATGTTTATTGAAAACCCTCCAACGGATGCTCTAGAATCCGGGGTTTATGTCTCATAGCTCTGCCTTTCGTTGAAACATCTACGATACGGCAGTTCGACCAACGTACCTGACGATTTCCACCGTGTGCTCCACAGCAAGGTGAAGCAAGCGCGGTGACTTACGTTCGATTAAGTTTAAAATGAGTGCAGACTTGCGCAGCATCTACCACACACTCTCCTCCTCCACCACCCGGACCCGGTGTCAAGACAGAGTCAAGATGACCAGAGACGAGAGAGGTCGCAAGTGGATGGCGCGGCCAAGCCCGCAACTTGGCGCCCCACTCCGCACTCCCCAAGATTTCGCAAACCAAAGAATACTTTGCATCTAAAAACATGTCGAAGCTCTACTGACTCTTCGAAGTCACAGCGGGTTTTTATTCTGCAGGCGACTTTGTCTACTGCAGACTAAAAAGCGCAAGTTTTCCGTCAGGACATTCAACTTAACCTTGAAAGGCGATATTTCTAAATTTGACCTTCAAATGCGACGGATGCAACTGGCCAGAAATCACTCTGGATGGGCCTGTCAGTCAGATGTAGGTGCACTTAACCGCGGGGCTACTGGATCACGGAATGTAAAGTCAACAGAAGTCTTACCAGTCTTAGATGGGTTATGCTCGGGATGTCGACCAGTTTTAAGACATTTGCTTTTATGGAAATGACTCGTTAGGATGCATTAAGGGATTCGGGAAAATGGTTATAGTTCAAGTTTATGGTGCTTTGCCTCCCCGCGAAAACTGCTGTTAGCCACAACACTAACGCCAAGCATGGCCATGTCTGCAACGTGAAACCCTTGCCCTTAACCCGTTAGCAATTTAAGGAAAACTCCAACGTAACCCTAACCCTAGCCGAAGTTTTTAAACCGCAACCATAACCTCAACCCCAAATCCAAATCGTAATTCAAGTCTGACATTCCTAGTCCTAAGGATAACCCTACTTCTAACACTAACCTCGGCACTAACTCTAAGCTTGAGCCCGATACGGGCAATTTTGACATCATTGGAGTTGAAAATCCGCTCCTTAAATTTTCCTTTTTGTGATCTTATGTCGGGCAAACCGTTGTGAGACACACCTATTTAAATAAGATAAGAATGTAGACTTTTTGACAGCCAGCTAGGGGCTTACATACCCTACTCTCGCCGGTTACGAACGTAGGACTTACACAGAAGCAGAGCCAGGCATTTGAGGAAACGGTCGGAAATATGCGACCAATGTATGCCTCGGTCAATGCATTCGGCTTCACTGCCAGTCTTCTTCATGTAGTCATAACCCTGAATCACAATGAGAGTAGGACGAGGCTTGCGTGATGGATGTTACGTACATCACACCCGTAGTGAATTTAAAATTCATCACCCGTGACCAGCGAGCCTTCGACAAAACATTGACAACGAAGCCTTTGTCAGTAAATGTGTCTATTCCGACCATGCAGTCTTCCCTTTCTTATCTCCCCTGACTTGGCTAGATGCGAGTGATGGTAATTGAATCGTACGGTTAATTATTAAGTCAATTTCAGGCTTAGGTTTCGTTTGTACAAAATATAGGCGGACACAAGCACACCAGATCAAGCTCTTGGTCATACCCACAACTGTCGTCATGCCCGATAAACTTATTTAATGCTTAAATATTTACCTAGTTGCCGAATTTCATTCGTGCTCTTGACGGGTGGTTCGATCAAAGGCTACCCAACGAATTCGCTTGACTACTGTATGCAGACTAGTTGCGGCATATAGGTGGAGTCAGATGTCCACAAATCGCTCCGCAAATAAAATTCGCTTGTCTGTGTGTCGAACATCATCGAAATCATTCGAAACTTCGCTGATGTTGGTACCTTCCTTCTTCCAAGGGCTCAGAAGCGCGAATGATGTGCATTTATAGTCCGCGCAGAAGAGACGCGAGGCCTGAACGTTTAACACATACATGCAGTCAGGTAAGACATCTTCTGGACCCGACATACATTCGCCTCATCTGCCTCCACTGTCCGCAGTATGACAGTTCGACCGCCGTTTCCGACGATGTCCACCGTGTGCTCCACAGCGTGGCGAGGCAGGAATAGTTACTTGTGCGTGAATTAGTTTATTGTGATAGTGGACTTGCACAGCACCTACCACACTCTCTTCTCCTCCCCCACGTGGACCCGATGTCAAGACAGAGTCAAGGAAACCGGCGGTGAGGGAGGGCGCAGGTGGATGACACGGTGGGGCCCGCACTTTGGCGTTTCATTCCACACCCTCTGGTCCACACAGCAAATAACCTACTGCATTCCGCGTTGGTCATTCCTCATTCCTCAGAAATGCTAGGCACGTTTATCTCGCGCTGGACTGCCTAACCCCATTTTGAGCTCATACGGATAGACCTGCATTTTAATTCACTTATTCTGAAAGCCATTCACTTGCTGTCGCAATGCTACTGGTGAAAACGACAAAACTACCCCTGCGTTCAGTAATTGAGGTCCTCCCTGTCCTTCTCTGATCCTCACCCACACTCGTAATAATTATTTACACGCCTATGTCCTCCTGATTATGTGAGCATTTACCTTAGGCTGATAAACTAACCATCACAGATCAACTTCTGGGGAGGGGTGCATTTAGTTGTATTAATGAACACTCCACTTCAACATTTCGCATTATGAACGCGTGCTTTTAGGCGGATGTATTTTAATAAATAAGGGAAAAGGTTTACATTTTGAATTTTCGAAACAAAAGACAGTATTGGTAGAGGTAGCACGCGAGGACATTCACATTAATCCAGCCAGATCCTGCAGTCCTTCGCGGTAGCGGGGATCCTTGGCGCGTCGACTGCGTAGGGGAACGTACTGCACTCGTCTCGGCGCGGGTTCATAGGATCTGCGCTCATAACTGGGCTGGTTCTGCAGTCTTGGGGGATTGGCTGGTCTGGGTGGACGATACTGCGACACTCGGCTGCTTTGACTCTGACCCTTATATCCCGGATAAGAGGCCGGACCGCCCCAGATGACTGTGTGACTGGATCGCTGTGCCGATGTCCGCTGCCACCCTGAAGCAAATTTGTCTGTTTTATCCTCCTGCGTCACAGGCGTAATACATATATATATATATATTGACCAGCAAATTATTTAGTGATACTTGCACATCTACCTTAATCACACCATTTCGCCTTCATCATTATTTTGTGTTTCGTATATGTCTACGTAAATCGTGCCAGTTTACGCCAGGTAAATGCATGGCACAGACTACAATAAGCTGCATATTCACCACTTTTGAGGAGAGCAAACTGCCTTTTCGTGGGGCTCGATGCACCGACCTGCGAGAAACTTACACGAATAATAAGTGTGTGCGTAGAAACGCGGGATCCAGTAGGTCAACATGGATGTTATTTTCGAGCTCTTACTCATACATGATGCCGAACCTAACCTCAACGCTTTCCCTCAAAACGCCAACCCAAACGCTCCTAACATTAATCCTAACATGACCGACTGTAACGTGGAGGATATTTGTAGCCACGTCCTTTGTGTGCCCTGTTGGTGGCTTGCTAGAGAACTAGCTTTATACTTTAGGCCGCAGGATACCATACTAACAGCACAGGTACTAGCTAAAAGCCCAGACACGTGTTTCCTTGATATTCTGCTGACTGCATGGCGCAGCTGCGATGGGGGTTCGGCTCATCAGTGGGTCCACGTGGACCTTCTGGTAGACACTCCAGTTTTAAAATTGCCGCTGTTAATGTCCTCAGAAATTAACCGCCAACTCCTACAGACCTTGGTTCAAACTGATCCGCTCCAAGGTAGCAGTCAATTTCTGAGGAAGTTAAAAAGCAACAGTTTATATTTTAGGTTCGTCCTCAGATTAAGCAAGCCCCCCTATAGAAGAATTTGTCCATTCATGCGCCTAAGTGTAAAACCTGCATACGGCTATCTCAGCGAGCCGGGCTTGACTTGCCGTCTGCTGATAAAACTTTTCTTGGGATAACACTTTGCTGGGCACACTTTTCAGTGAGAGGAATGCGCCCATTTGGTTTGACGAAGGAGCAACTTTTGACAGCTGACGACATCGATATGACGGCACTGGTGGGCAGGCTCGGGAATTTTGAGTGAACAAAGGTCTTCGTGTAACTGACTGTCGTTTCGCCCTTTAATGACACTTTCGAGCGATTAAACCTCCCGCTGTGCAACCGAACATGCTCCGCAGCGCGTTGGAAATACTGCTCACATTGATAGAGAACTGCACTTTGGCGGAAAATTCAGGATGAAAAAACAACTATATTTCTAATACTTTATCCGCTTTTCATGAGCATATGTCCTCGCCTTTTTTTGTCCTTATAGTGCACAAGGAATTTTTAATTATTTTTTCTGAACGTAAACGTAAACCGATATTTAGCATCACTTTATGGTTGTAGAACATGTTCGTGCTTTCTTACATTTAACCTTCAAAAACGCTTTTCCTCCCTCCCTCCTAATTCGCAAATTAGAGGTTGCCAGACAGATAAAAAGAATCTGATAAAAAAGAACGTAATAACAATGCAAATAAATGAAGAAACGCACTCTGAGCCCATCCCAGCGAAGCAGTGAGGCATAGCAGGAGAAGAATTGTTGTCTACATGAAATAAAGTTAAGGTATTTTATTCCACTAATAAGTGTGCTGGAGCTTTTTCTTGTTAAGATCCTAAAGTCTACAACCAAAGAATATAGAAATCATGTTTTATAAAAAGTGCGCAAATTGTAGGACAAAAAACACAAGTTAAATTTGGAGCTAAGAATTGAATGGAGGGCACTGAAGTAAAAATTTTTCAACTTTTTTCACGATAGTTTTAAAATGGGAAGATCGTAGAATCCACTATCCGCTTATTATTCTTTTAACTGTCGTCTTTTAACCAGAAGCTTCGTTAGGCATTTTGTGACGCCTAAATTATAATGTTACTTACTGCAAAGTTAAGACAAATGGCCATCCTATATCTCAAAAAGCGGAGTTGATATCTCCTAATGTTAATGTTTCCAGCAGCTATACGGGTAGGGCGTTCTGAATGTAAGTTCCATTCTTTTCCAGAAAGGATGCGAAATGAGATAATTTTATATCAAAATATTTCCACCGAGTAAGCTCTCTCTTTTCGGACTGACTAATCGAAACCCTCTTGGGGTTGCCAGTTGGTGGTATAATGAAGCAAGGTTACAGTAGATAGGTGAGCGCATGAAGCGCTGATCAAAATTCTCAAATGAATTTTGATTCGAAAGGCAGAAGCTATTTAAGTTATGTCGAGATGCCGGTTTTCGAATGAGCTTCTTTTAAACGGCCTGCAAAAACACTCCGTGAAAATGGCTATTTGAAGGGTATGTTTTCCCCGTAGATTTTCCATGGCCTCATAAAGTTAAAACACACTGTAGAAAACAAACACAAACACTTCCATGTACTTATTCAGCAGCAAATCAAGTCTTCTTTAATTTGCTACTTACAGAAAGGGCACCTTATGGTTTTAAGAAGACTCTAATTGTGAAATTGTTTAAGATCGCAAAATGCCCATTCATAAAACATTCTATCTGTATATTTATTAATGCTGCTTATTAATCATATCAAGGGGACCATATCCATTGCAAAGTTTATGAGACCTACGTGACATCTTCTCGATAACATATTGGTATATGTCTTTTTCTTTGCAGGAAAATTATACGACTCGTAAGTTGAAAATCGTAGATTTAAGTAAAACACCCGGTCGGTTCCGGAACTATTCAGGAATTGAAAAGTTTTTTAAGTCGAAAAATACCTTTTCTTCAAGAATAAGATTTAAAGTAGACGTAATGTGTTACCAAATGAGTACTTAAAATAAGGCTTTATGCACGTTTTCACTAAGGCATATTTGAATTTATCAAGGCGTCGAAATCGCTCGAAGAAATTATACTATTCAAGTACTCATTTCTTATAGAGTAGAGCTTTCGCAGGCGACTGGGAAGACGTCCGTTCAAAAGGCGTCATCCTAGCCAAACTAAAACATCGTGAGATTATGCCGCACGATGATTAATACCGTTACCTAAATTTCAAACCAAAAGCAGGTTTCAGTCCTGCTGTATGAATCTTTGTGCGGTTAAATTTCAGACCTTATGACATATATGAAGCAGGAATGATGTACAGACTTACCTTCATGGTTTCATAACCGAGCTCACCCTGAGAATGTATATATATACAATCGCGTACATGCGGGCGCATAGCAGCCGATTGGCTACTGTTTCCAAAAAATAAACAATGTTCAGAGACCGTTCTATGCTGGAATAATATGTAAGCAAAATGTGTAATTCAGAAACTATCTGACGCGCATACGCGTGCTTTCGATACATTCTCGTCCGGCTGGGTACATTTACATGGGAACAATATATAAAGGGACCTCGTAGCTCAGAGGTTTGGCTTACCAAAGCCTCCCCTTGCTGTCGCGGGTTCGAATCCCACCGAGGCACCGAGTTTTTCACAGTCGTATCAAAGTGAATTATTTGAAATTTGCCAAAACACCTCTGAATTACGTGAGCCTGGTAGTGATCTGGTGGATTCTAGATGTATTACTTAGGAAACCCTGCTTGGGCAGTCAGCTTACTATATCAGATTTGGTGAATTCCAGACGTTGCCGTAGGATGGGCGGGTAAACTTGACCCCAATGGGATTAAACTCGCGTCGTCCGGTGGGGCCTCATGGCTCAGATGGTTAGAGCTTTGGCTTTACTAAAGCTTCCCCTTGCTGTCCTGAGTGCAAATACCACCGAGACACCGAGTCTTCCACAGTTGGGCCAAAGTGAAATAAAATCGTGTTAACGATATAAGGAATCGACTACGGTTCGTCTTTTCATACAAACGGGGTGTATGAATAAGGAGGGGAAAGGAGGGGCAGGTGGTAGTTGTGGCAGTGAGGGTTAGGAAGGACTGTGTCACGGGTGGAGGGGAGGGGGGAACTGGAGACATGCATGCAGTTATTCTACCTTTGACTACGGTAGACGCAGATCTTGCAGGAGGTCCTTCTGTGCGCACAAGACCGGCCTCCGTAGCCCGATGGCAGTTGCTTCAGGTGTTAGTAGAAGGCCCTAACCAACTTGCTTAGGCGAGTAAGGTGGGACTGTGTAAATCACGCGGAAGGCTTATTTGGGGTCCACACGATGCCTAGAATCAAGCATGTCTGCGAGGATTGAGCTGCGTATGTTCTTAATTGTACTTTTCCTCAGTCGTGCCGGCAGGTGTTCTCGTAATCTTTCTGGATAGGCGCCGACTCGTACGACCAGCATAACCTGCTCCACATGAGCAAGTAAAAGAGTAAAAGCACACAGGGGTGGTCAAAGTTGGCAACCTATCCATACCTTCCCTGGGTGAGAAGGGGCTGGTAAAGAACCCTTGCTGCCGGGAAGGTTCGTGAGACGGCTTACTCAAGGCATTTTATCAGGAGTTCATTAGTCGAAAAGAGGCTTTGGAGGAATAGATTTTTCTTTTCTGTCGTCCATGTGGTGAGTTTTGCCGGTTGTTCGATAAGACTCTTTTAAAAAATCTGTCAGGATACCCGCTTTCGGAAAACAGGTCCTGAATTCTTCTAACTTCTTTATCAAAAACATATTTATCTAGTTCTTTGCGTTAAACAAGGGACTTGATAAATTTTCTGTTAAAGGGGTGCCTAATTGCAAAATTTCGTGTTTAGCCCAGACCAGGTTTTTTTTCGATAGACGCTTCTTCGAACGATGCTGTCAGCTCTTCCGCCTATAAGGACGTCTGAGAGAGGCAGAGAGCCTGCCATTTCCACCTCCATCCTACACCTGATGGATGAGTGCGCTTGAGTTACAGCCTCCAAGAGATCTCTGTACGTTGTTTTGTTTTTGAAAAAAGTGCTTGCTTAGGTGATTCAGGGGTTGCCCAAATAGCCTGCACATAGTCCAGGAAGTCAATTTTTCGTTTCCCTTATAAGTGTTTTTAAAGCCTTGGTGTTTTTAAAAAGGCTATTGTGTTTCTCGTAAAGCAAAGAAACACGTTTGCATTGCCTAAAAACCCTTGTGTGCGGCGTTTTTCAGTCTGTACACGTGAGCCACAAACTCTGTTTACTGGGATTTTATTGTACTGAAATATTCTTCTCTTTCAGGCATGGATGATTAAGATAGGCTAAGTTAATACGATACAGTTTTCAACTTGATCTTAAATCACGTGAGGAGATCTTTATTAAAGACAGTGGACGTTTTTATAAAGTGTTGTTGGTTTCCCCAGCTGGGACTTGTTCGAATCAGAGTCTTGCATCAGCTTGCACGAACTTATCCAAGATTAGTCTTGAAACTTGTCGCTGTTGCAGTTCTGCCTAACATAACTTTGGCAGGATTAAGTTTCTGCGCTTGGCGATAATCCAGGCAAACTTGCGTCGTTGATTGATGGGCAGTTTATCCGTACAGTATCAGCAGTATTCTAAAAGTTCTACTAGAGTAGACAGCGATAGTCCTCCACTCTTCCAAAAACCTGCCGATCCACGGATAACAAGCTCTGTCCCCACAAGCGTATGCACTTTTGAAGAAGGAGACACGATCACTGGGACAAGAACTTTATTAGCCTGGCGTTTCGGATTCCTGCTCGAACCCATCATCAGAGACAAAAGCAGATACGGGTGGTTCATGCACACGGGGCTGCAGTATTTAAAGGATACAGTCGCCAGACTACCGCATACCTAGGCACATTTACGGCTCTCCCATTCGTCAGGGATTGTTGCAATTGGTGTGATAACTGTTTGATGGCCAACATTCGTGTCGTTAACTGCTGCAATTTCATCACGTGCGTTGGATGTTGTTGTGATCATTGCTCGACCATCTTACCCACCGGCCCTGGAGTTGGGAAGTGTTCACTTAAGTGTTCCCCGCGTGGCTAATCGCTCCGCCTAGGCGACTATAAATACTGCAGCCCCTTGTGCATGAACCACCGCGAATGTCGGCCATCAAAAAGTCATCAAACCAAGTGCAGAAATCCCTGATTTAGGGGGGCGGGGGGAGGACCGTGAATTATCATTGGTATGCGGTAGCATGGCGACTGCAACCTCTGAGTACTTCAGTTTCGTTGCGCATGAACCACCCCTGTCTGCCATTTTCTCTGATAATGGGTTCGAGCAGGAATCCAAAACGTCAGGATAATAAAGCTCTTGACACAGCGATCGTGTCTCCTTCTTTAAAACTACTTCCTGGGACTCGTCTCTTCCCTTCTATTGGTAAGCACTTTATTAACGCTGGACCAACGCGAAATGTTGTATTGGTCTTTGACTGCACGGACTCCGTGCTCGTCCATATCTTCTGTCGAACATGTGACTGGTGGCAGGTCTCAGAGTAAAGTCTACGCGCCGCGTCGGCAACGAGGCCGGATACCATCATTCGCCGATGGACAGACCGCGGGATAGACGAGAGCGAGCTAGGCCGAAACTCATGGGAATTGGTACTGACGATATATCAGCGCGTTCCGCGCTATAATAATTTTGACGACTAAAACGGGACGGGATAAGTCATGGATTGAAAGGTTGCCGGGTGACACTGTAGTGCCGTCATTCTTAGAACTGCGGGCCGCAAATGGTCCTCCTCAGTGTGACCTCAGTGACACACTCAGTGCATGTGTGGCACGCGTAGACGGCTTTGAAAATAGCCGTCGAGATTGGGGACACATTCGCTGGAACAAGAGCTTTATTAGCCGGACGTTTCGGCTTCTCACTCGAACCCATCATCAGAGACAGAGTCAGATAAGGATGGTGGATTGCTCAGGTGTTGTAGTATTTATAGGATATAGTTGCTAGGCCGCTACATGCCTATCAAGGAACGTCTGAATGCGGTCTTCCCGGAAATACAATTTACGATGGAGGAGGAAGAGAACAACCAGCTGGCCTTCCTGGATGTCCTCGTGTGCCGCAAGTATTGTGGTGGAATAAAGACCAAAGTGTTCAGGAAAGCGACAAATACGATGCAAGTACTGAACTTCAACAGTAACCACCCAATCAGCCATAAACGCAGTTGTGTAAGGACGCTCTATCGGCGTGTCGAAACGCACTGAAGTTAGCCGGAAGATAAGATTGCTGAACTACAATACCTCCGACGGGTCTTCAAAGCCAATGGCTACCCGCGCAACTTTGTCAACCGGTGCATACGCAAAATGAACGAAAGGCCTAACCACATGGACACAAAATTTTGGCAAGCGCTTCCGTATGTCAAGAAGGTTTCGGAAGCTGTTGGCCGCCTTCTCGCACCACTTGGGGTTGCAGTTGCACACAGGCCGGAGGCAACCATCAGGCGTCAGTTGATGAAACTGAAAGACCCCCTGCCACGGCAAGAAACGTCTGGAGTCGTTAATCGGATCTAGTGCAGTTGTGGACAAAGCAACTACGTCGGAGAAACCGGAACACAGCTCCGAACGCGAATGCCCAAACGTGCTGCAGCGGTGCGGAGAAATGACGCCAGCTCTCAAGTTGCGGCTTATTCGACGGGTTCCGGTCACACATTCAAATTCGATTAGGCCGAAATGCTCGCAAGAGGTGACAACCGCGTGAACCGGGAGCTGCTTGAGTCATGGTTTACTGGCCTCCAGTCTATTAACAAGTGCAATGATCTTCCCATTCAATACAGTGTGCTGAGACTTCGCCTAGGCGGAGTAATAGGCCACGCGGGGAGCGCACTGGTGAACACTCTTTCCAACACCCGGGTCAGCGCGTCAGATGGTCGAGCAATCATCACAGCAACATCCAACGCACGTGATGAAATTGCAGCAATTAACGACGCAAATATCGGCCATCACGCCACGTGCAACGATCCCTGATGAAGAGGAGGCAGCCGTAAATACTCATAGGTATGCGGTAGCATGACTACTGCATTCTATAAATACTGCAGCCGCATATGAATGAACCACCCTGGGCTGCTTATGTCTCTGATGATGGATTCGAGCAGGAATCCGAAACGTCAGGCTAATAAAGCTCTTGTCTCAGCGATCGTGTCTTCTTCTTCAAGACTGCTTCCTGGGACACGTCTCTTTGCTTCTAATAACGACTGTTCCGGTATCAATGTTGTCGAGCCAAATCACCCAAGCGTCCACACGGATGACGAAATTTGATGGTCAGTCACTCGGCGGCGTGCGATGAGCGTGGGAGCCGATAATCTAGACCGGCATGTAGAA